CTGTACTTCCGATTTGATTTGAAACTGTCTCATTGCTATCTGTTTATCAATAAAACTTTGAAAAAAAAAAGAATTAAAATATGAAAAAAATCTCCACTTTCTTACCTATTCAAATATCAGGGAGTCTATAACCCTATATCACTTGGTTATTAAGATGACAAGTTTCCATTTTAATTAGTCCCTCACCCCCTTTACTTTTTTCCTAGTGATTTATTTTTAATTCTAACCTTCCACACCATCCAGCTGTGGGACAATAGGTATATTTCTTGTTCTTTTGGCTTTTGTTTATGCCTTTGCAAACTGGGCATGATAATGCTATCTGATCTAAGAAGAAAGTTGTAAGATTTCATTTTAATATTGAACCCAAATAAAGCATTTTTACCATCTTGTAAAAAAAAAATATGAATGAAGAACTTTTACGGACAATTTTCCTGGGGCTGGGGCTGTAGCTCAGTAGTGGAGTGCTTGCTTAGCATGCATGAGGCCCTAAGTTCAATCTCCAGTACCACAAAAAAAAAAAAAAAAAGACAGAGAGGGGAAAGAAAATGAAAGTGAAGGGATAAAGTGCAGAATGAGACAATTCTTCTAAGAAGGTATACAAATTGTCAACAAGTCTATGAAAAAAATATTCAACATACTACTTGTTAGACCATTGTGAATCCAAACCACAATGATATGTTGTTTCACACCCATTAGAATGACTAACATAAAACAAAATAAAGCCCCTAAAATAGCAAATGTTGGTGAGGATGTTGGGATCATGAACTGTGATTTGTCAATTTGAGTAGGAACCTCCTAGCTGATTAGTAAAACTCGGAGTGTGCCTGAGGATGACTGACACATGAGCTGCAAGCTGAGGGGAAGAAAACATGCTTGTTGGTGCAGACTCTTGAGCCTTCTCACACAGACCTTCTACTTTCCCACAAGGACTTGCTCTGTATTCTGCCGGGAGCTCCAGGTCTTCAGTCTTCACCCCCAGAACACAGACAGCAATTTTGCGTGCTTCTACCCCAACTCCATTGGCAATCATTTTCAGTCTGTCTAGTAAATCCCTTATATAATCATATTTTCATACTAAATCTGTTCCTGCAGTGAATCCAAAATGATACAGAGAGAGAAATTTAGAATATTATTGTACTGTTGGTTGGAATATAAAATGGTACTACCACATGGAAAATTGTGTAGAATTTCCCCAAAAAATTAAAAATAAATTACAATATAATTCAGCAATCTTGTAGAGGCAGTATTCTGGAGAGGAGATAGATATGCAAAACAACAACAAAAGGCACCTTTTGGACATGGAGGCACACGCTTGTCATCTCAACTAGTTGTGAGACTAAGATAGGAGAATCACTTAAGTCTAGAGGAAACAGAGGGGGCAATGTAGTGAGACCTTGTCTCAAACAGGAAGAAAGGAAGGAAGAAAGAAAAAAAAGAAAGGAAGGAAAGAAGAGTTCTGGAAATTATTGCCAAATACAAAAATGTATATGCATTGGGTAAGATTCTATGAGTCCAGGCAAACAGAAGCAAAGAACACCTCCTCGAAGGTCACCCTGAGGAATGGTGCCCTTGAGTATTGATCAGCTCAAGAAAAAAGTCCTCATTGGTTATTGAGGGCTAAAGTAACCCGCAGAGAGGCCACTCTAGTCTTTCTGGCCACACTTGAAACCAAGGGCAACATTTTTAAATGAAGACAAGAGAATCTAGATATTCAATGTCTATAGAAATGAATGCTATTTGGCCACAAGACAGTGAAGGACTAACAAATGTTACAATATAGATAAATCTTGAAAGTCAATGAAAAGAATATCAAATGAAAGAAGCCAAGCACAAAATACCACCTATTCTGTGATTCTATGTATATGAAATTTCTAGGAGAGGGAAATCTTAGAGATGAAAAAACAGATCAGTGATTACTTAGGGCTGGTGAGAATGGGTGAAAGAATTGTTCTAAAATTGATTGTGCTGAAGACTGCATGTATCTGTGAATACAATAAACCACTGAATTCTAAATTTAATTTAATTTATTTATTTATCTCCCTATCTTTTTGAGATGGGGTTTCCATAGGCAGTTCAGGCTGACCTTGAGCTTACTTTGTAGCCCATGCTGGCCTCAAACTCACAGTGATCCTCCTGCCTCAGCCTCGCGAGTGCTGGGATTACGGGCGTGCATTACCACACCCAGCTGTAAACTTTAAATGAATACATTGTATGGCATTTGAATTATATCTCAATTAAATCTGTTTTTAAGAGAAACTCAACAGATGGAAGTTGCAAAGTTATAAAAACGTTGAGAATCTGACACAGGGATTTCCTGTGATGCAAACGGAGGGAATGATTGGTCTCTTTCATCGCACTCTCCCTCTTTTCTGGCCTCTTTTTAAAATTCCGACGCAATCACTTCTTGCTCAGCTGGTTCTCTGCCCAGCGCAACCGGCGGGCTGCAGCGCTTGCTGTGGGAGCTCAGCACCTCCAGCGACGGGCATCAAGGGGAGGGGCGCTCCCTTCATCCCTGCACCATCCCCAAGGTCGCTGATCCGGCTCCAGTGCCCCAGATCCCATCCTTCATCTGCTCCAGTCTCCTTCCATCAAGATAAGGACGCGCAGCCGGCAAAACAGCGCTGTCCCTGGGAAAAGTGCTTGAACAAACAACTGTGTGAAGACGCCACAGAAGACAGAGGCTGAGCGTGAGTGCTGACAGATGCAGGAGATATTCTGCCCCTGTTTTCCTCTTTAGACAGCTTTCCCCCAGCCAATAGGAATTTAGGATGAAATTGTGTCACCTGTTCCTAGCAGAGATGTATGCTTCGGAGGCGTCTTCAGCCTGGCGTGCAGATGAGAAGCGGAAGAGAGGGAGAGCTAGACTCCTGGGTTCTAGGAGAGGGCTGATTCAGGTCTCAAAGAACATCTCTTGGATTAGGGGGAAAAGGAACCTGAGGTTACGGAAATCTAGGGTCTTTTTTTTCTGTAGGAACAAAGATGGAAAGGGATGAAGGCCTGATTGGTGTTCCTGGGAAGACCCCGGATGGACCCAAGGGGAAGGGTGTGGCGTCTGTTTTGGGAGAAGACAGAGCAGATGCAGACGCAGGGCTTCTGGGCCGCATCTGGGGCGCTCAGGGGTCCCTCAGTCAGAGCAGAGCCGCCAGAGACCCCAGGGCGCACCGTCAGAGGGCAGGCAGCCGCGGCTCCGGCAGGGCGTGGGCAGCGGGGCTGTAGTTCCCGGGACGCTCGGTGGGCGAGCGAGCGAGTCAGCACACTAGACCGCTGGGGCCGCCAGACCAGACGCCATAGGCTGACCGACAAACCCGAGCGGCCTCTGCGGCCTGGCATGCAGAAGGGAGGCGCTCGGCCGCGGACTCGGGTGGAAAGGCCGGGAGACTTCCACAGGACGCTTAGCAGGCTCTTTTGTTTCCCTTTTTGGTAATCTGGCCGCTTCACCTGGGAAGCTGAAGGTTAAATAGAGCACAGACGTCCTGTCCGTTCTCTATCAGGCAGCAGCCCTGCCCGGAGGTGGAAGGCTGCCGAGCCACGAGGTGGGCCTCGCAGCCTGGACCTCCTGGGGGCTTGTCTGCTGCACTCCCTGAGGGGGAGACGAGGAGCTCCTTTTCTTTCTTTCTTTTTTTTTCCTCCATAATTTTATTGAGAAACAAATAGCAATGAGACAGTTTCAAACCAAACTGGTAGGTCAGTTCCAATAATTAACACACTGCGTACATTCTTCCTAGTGGTTAATTGCTGTACAAGATGTGGACATGATATCCAAGTTACAAACACTATTAGAACAAATCCCTCTATTGATTAAGAGAATGTAACTATATATCTATCTTAACCATTTTGAATACACAGATACAAAATGGACATTCTTCTGTATCTCCTTTTTTGTTTAGTTCTGTCATTTGAATATTATAGGTGTGTTAACTCAGCAAAATATTCTAAAACAGTCCAGTAGTCCATCCCTTTCATGAAAACTCTGCATGACCCCTTAAGCCCCTGCTCCAGGCCTCCTTCCTCTGATTCTGAGGGTTGCCTCAGGGTTCTGCTTCTTCGCAGAGGACTAGTAGTGGATTGGATCACGAAATTTAGGCAACCACAAAACCTCTTGACAGCTCCATGGTTTTCCATGGTCCGCCTTGGATTATTTATGGTGACTCCCTAGGCCCCTCAAGGAAGTTGTGTTCTGGAATGAAAGCCATGTGAGCAACAACAGCAAAGTTCTAAAACTGAGAAGCAACAGCAGAGACGATTTATACCAAGAAAGGAAGAGCGGACTCCTCACAAAAGTCTCCAGAGACCAGAGACAGCCTCTGAGGAAGGAGGAAGCTGTTTCAGGGCGGGGCTGCTGCTGTCTGGGCTACTTTACCTGGGACGGGAAAGTGAAAGCAGAACAGAACTATTTCTGGGGTGATGGCTACCTTTCCACAGAGAACTTGGCTGGTTCCCCAGTGAGCCAATGGGCATCGTGAATCCCAGAACGTCACTTGTATCTGGCAGACTGAGTTCCCAAGCGCGGCCAGGCGCGCCACCTGCTCAGGAAACTGCCTGGGCGCAGGGAGCCGGGGATTTCCTGGCCGCTTGTTTTCATCAAGCACCACACAGAGGTTAAGAAGCAATTTTAAGGGAACAGATGCTTGGTTTGGAGAGAGCCCTAACATGTGACTATACAGTAAAACATATAACTAAAAATATGAAGACTTTATAATAGTTTAGCTATTCATAAAGACTGCGACATTTCTTTTAATTATAATTGGATGAGGAAAACCAACAAAGAAAAGTGAGTATATAGAAACAGGAAAAGAAAACAAGAAAATAAATATTAGGGATAATAGAAACGTGTAAAAGAATAAAATTATGGTCCCGAGGAGTGGTTGGATTTTGCTGCCTAGTCAATAGTAAGATCGGGTCACTGTAGTAGAAGGCTCTGGTTTCTGTGCTGGAACAACTGTGAGGACAGAACAGCGAAAGCCACCACGATAAAGACACGGTGGCCTCAGCATCCTCACCTAGCCCCTTGGGGGATGCACAAGGAAGTGGAGCTGCAGAGCTGCGGGGGCACGGAGTCAGAACGGGGTTCCTATAAAGAACACAGAAAAGTAAGGGAGAGACTAGACGCCGGGAGATGAGGAGAAGATGTGGAGCCTAAATTTTAAACCAAGGGAAGAATCCTCAGACAGGAAGTGATTAGAGATAAGGAGGGAGCTTCCCAGGGTGTCATTCCTAAGGGAGGAGAGGGAAAAGGAACAGAAACCCGGAAGGACTCTGCCTTTCCCAAGAGAGGTGAGCTTTCTCCAAATGCCCCTTTTAAAGAAGAAAAGCTGCATCTCTACTCCTAAATGGCCGGTGTGAGGGCTTTCTTAGCATCATCGGGAATCGTTGCTCCAAGAGGCAATTCGATCCATTGCATTTCTTTAAATATTTTCTCTTCGTTTGATATGAAGTCTTACTGCGTTGCCTGGGCAGGTCTCAGACTCCTGGACTCATGCGATTCTCTTGCCTCAGCCTCCTAAGTGCTGGGAGGACAGTTGAATGTATAAATTTAAGACTACTGGGCCGGGGAGATGGCTCAATAGTAAAAGCGTTTGCCTGCCAAGCACAAGGGCCTGAGTTCAATCCTTGGTTCAAAAAAATAAATAAGTAAAAATAAAGACTACCCACAAATTCAGAGGTAGAATAAAAACCTGTAATTTTAAAGCGCCTGCTTAGGCAGATGTATGGGCCAGGTTCGATCCCGGGCCTGCCGTGCCTCCTGCCCCCCGGGGTGCGCAGAGATTGCAATTGAGACTGGACGTGGTGGCGCCTGTCTGTAATCCCAGCGCTTGGGAGGCTGAAAACAAGAGGATCGCTATGAGTCTGATCTGTGTGGTGAGACCTTGTAGACTCTGTAGACCCTGTACTAAATACATTATTTAAAAAAAAAAAAACCCTATAATTTTCAATTTCTTCCCCAGAAACAGAAGTCTGGGATTTAGAGAAGTCAAAGAGGGGAAGGGAAAGTTCCAGGGGAAGCGAGCCGCTGCTGACGACACGGACGCAGACGTCCGGAGCCTGGAAAGAGATGATGAGTAAGAAACCCGCTGTGGTGGTAAGAACCTCAAAGTGACCACCACACGGTGCCCCAAAGGGCGTTGGCCGAGGGATGACGTCAGCTGCCTGGCTCAGGTGACACCCACCTGCCGCGCTTGTGCTCCGGGGATTCTGCGGTTATGCAGGTCGGCATTTGAAACTGAATCAGTTACCAAAGGAGCAGATCACCCAGCAAAGCCCAAGACATGTATATCGTACCTTAATACAATGGGCCTTTTCCTTTATATTTTCATATCATATTTAGTTCTGTGTACAGATTTCCACGATAGGATGAAAGACCCTTGATGTCAGGAGCCATAATGGTGGTCTCAGAGCTTAGCACGATCCTCGAAGCAAAACGGATTGAAAGTAGCTAAGTCTATACACGAAGAAACTGGATCCAAGGCTGCAAACTGAAATACAGACGGGTGAGCGCGCCCTCTAGTGGAATCACTAGGACGTAGCCCCAACGGGCCCAAAGACCCTGGCGCGCAAGCAAGCAGAACCGTCCCGAGCGGCACCATGCAATAATAGAAAATCGCGACAGCCAGCGTACTCTATTTCAGTTTCTAGCAGTCACGTGTAAGAAGTAATAAATAATGTGAAATTAATTTAATAATATGTATTTTAAATCAAATGCATCTAAAATATTGTCAACCAATATTCCAATTATTATTTTTTTTTTTACAATATTCCAATTCTTGATGAGATCACACACGTGCGCGCGTGCGTCTTCTAATTCTCGTGTTTTTTATGCTTCTAGAATATCTTCTCTGGACTCGCCCTGGTGCGGACGCTCATGGCCACAGGTGGCGCCGCTGTGCTGGCCGTGGTGGGGCTAGAGGGCAGGAGCCCCGGCCTCAGAGCAACGCCACCTATCACAAGCATTACCTCCACTTACCATGCTCCAGGGAACATGAGACACGACTTCACCTCCAAGTGAACACGCTAGACAACTCAAGTCACTGACTTTGTGTCATTTTCTGAAAGCAGACACACCAGGCAGGTTTCTGTCGAGCCAGTGTTTGCCTCCAATGTTGACAAATCTCCCCCCAGAATCACCAGTATTCATTTATTTACTTTTATTTGTTATCATCTATGTGTTTGTTTGATAAACATTTGTTAACATTGGATGCCTCTCATGGTAGCACTTATAGGGAGAGGAGACCGCGTAGCAAAGATTCAGTAAGCCCTAATGCTTTCTCACGGGATCTCGCTCTATAAGGAAAGAGCACCACACACACACATGCACCCCAAGAAGGCACCGGAGAGCCTGGCTTCCGGGTGGCCTCAGCCTGCAGGATTGCTCCCAGTTCTGTAACATGATCTTGGCAAAAACACAGCAAGAAATATTATTTATTTATTTATTTATTTATTTATTTTTATGTATTTGGTGCAGGGTCTCACTATGCAGCTCGGACTCGTAGTGACCCTCCTCTTTCAGCCTCCCCAGCCCTGAGATTACAGGCATGTGCCACCACTTCTGAACCTGGGGGTCGGCTCAGTGCGCCCCAAGGGCAGGCCCGGTGCAGCACGTGCTGCTGGGGATCAAACCCCAGCCCTGCGCTTGCCTACGCAGGTGCTTAGACCTCCGAGCTGTCTCCGCATCCCTGGAGAGGTGTTTTAAAATAGCAAGTGGGTGGGAGGCTGCGGGTGGGCGAGGCTCACTCCAGGCGGCCGCTCTGGCCTCTCCCAGGACTGGCCCTGACGCGCTGCCCGCTACGTCCTGAGAAGAGGAGGGACGAGATAGCGACGCTACTAGCTCCTCCCAGTTCACAGAAAAGAAAGGCTGCGCTAGAACCATCTGGAGAACTTTTACATTCATGTCTTGTAGTCTGAGCAACGAGTTTCGAGATAACAATAAGCAACATATTAAATAATGTTATTTCCTATTACTTTGTTTTGAAATTTTTATTTTTTCCACAAAATAAAGTTTTTTTAAAAAAGAATAACATTGATGTTTTCAGTTGACTTAACAAAAAAATTTATGAAACAGCATCTTATCTATGAACATAAACTATTCTTTGCTGTGTCTTTTAACATCTAATTTTTTTCCTTCAAGGTCTCCCAAGCCTTTACAGTTCAATTTCTTTGTGTGTACTATTATTAATGGTGTGAATTATACTACACATTCTACCTTACTGTAACTGGTTACTACAAATATAATGTATTTTGTATATTAAATATTTGTGAAAGAACTGCAAAAAATAGATCTCAATTTTTTGTTCAGCTAACTGCAGGCTGGGGAGAAACGCAAGGCTGGAATCCTTGCTGGAGGAGGGAAGGGACCGGGCCAGCCAAGCCCAGCATGCACAGTGGTCGTTCACTTTTCTCCACCCCAGCTACCTGGTCAAGGTCAAGGTCAAGGTCCAGGCTGGCAGCCCTTCCCAGGGCTCCCTGTCCTGACGTGCTGAGCCACTGTCCCGTGATGAAGGGCCAGCAAAGGGGAGTGACCGTGGTTCTGTGCTGACCTAGGGCTCCCGCAGGCCCTTCCTTCTTCCACACCGGATACTGGCATAGCCCCCTGGGCCAAAGCAGCAAGCCAGGAGAAAGCCAGCGGGCTGGAGGGACCACACGTGTCTGTCAAAAAGAGCACTAGAAACTGTAGACCAGCCACTTTAAATAAGCATACAAAATATGAGGGATATCACATAAAAACCCAGGAAATACAGGCAGAACCATACAGAAGTTCTAGGTGTGAAAACAATAAGACAAGTAAAGTGAAAGCCACAGTAGTGGGATCCGAAGCACAAGAAGTAAACTGAAAAGCAAATTAGTAGGTTGGAAGATGCGGTGGACTGCTAATTGGTGGTCCTCCTGTTACACCCAGCTGAACCGCAGCAGCAGCGTGGCGCTGGTGTGGGAGGCCACCTGAGGGCTGTGGCTGGCAGCGTGGGAGGCGGAGCTGGAGGAGGAGCGGCTGTGGGGAAGCTGCTGGGGGAAGCTGTTGGGGGCTGTTGGAAGCTGCTGGTTCTCTTGGCCTGTTCTGCTGGGGGACCTTGTCGTGCTGGCTTTCCTGGTGAAGTTGCTTATTCTCCCTGGAGGTGGAGCTCAGGACCTCTTTGTCCCTGAGAATGGCTGTGGTCATCTTGGGGGGCTCTGGTCCTCAGCGTGAGCATCACTTCCTGGCTCCGGAGGGGAAGATGGCGCCCTGCTCAGTCTCCTGGAGAAGCCTGGGCTTTCCTGGTGGGAACTCAGCTCTCCTCATCCTTGGAGGAGCTGGGACCGCCTGGTCGCTGAGGCTGGCTGTGGTACTTTGGGGGAGCTCTGGTCCTCACCTTGAGCATCGCTTCCCGGCTCCAGGGCAGGTCCTTCAGCGGCTAGCACAGACCCTTCATCCCACTGGCACAGACTCTCCAGCTTCCACTACAGAACCTGGGGCCCTCCCAGCCAGATCCGTGAAGTGGGCCTGCATGAGGCACCGTCGTGGGCTCGGCCTGCAGTTGGTCCTGTGAGAGGCATTGTTGCAGGCTCTAGGTCTTCAGCAGGACTCATGCGGAACACTGCTGTGGGATGCAGGCCCTCAGCTGGATTCTTTGGTCTTCAGTGTGTGCACAGATTTCCTGTACTTGTATGTGATTCTTTGGGAGATTCATTATAAAATAATCTTATAAACTGCGTCCTGGATCTTCCGGGTCAAGGCACTTGGCAGCCACTGTTTATAGTGCACTTACAGCCAAGTCTAAGAACCACACCACACACAACCAGTCCCGAAAATGGCACAGAAATGGCATCAAGAAACCTTGGTCACAAAGACACGAATCTCTGAAGGGGGTAGACCCCAAGTTCCTCAGGAACATGCATTTTGCCAAGAAGCACAACAAGAGGGGCTTCCAGAAGATGCAGGCAAACACTGCCAAGGCCATGAGCGCACGCGCCGAGGCTATCAAGGCCCTCGTCAAGCCCAAGGAGGTCAAGCTCAAGATGATCCCAAATGGAGTAAACCGCAGGCTCGCTCGACTTGCCTATATTGCCCACCCCGAGCTTGGGAAGCGTATCCGTGCCCGCATTGCCAAGGGTCGCAGGCCTTGCCGGCCAAAGGCCCAGGCTCCAGCCGAGGCCCAGGCTCCAGCTTCTGCTCCAACCAAGGCCCAGGCCCCAACTTCTGCTCCAGCCCAGGCCCCCAAAGATGCCTAGGCTCCCATGAAGACTCCATAGCAAAAGCCTCTTATTTGCTGATGTAAAAACAGAAGGATTGGTGTGACCCCTGGGGTGCCATCTGTGGGGGTGTGGTGTCCTCCTGTGCTCTTTGTACAAACAAAGTTGAGGCAGGAAAACCAGAATAAAACAAAATGCATACTGTATTGTTTTGCCCCCCCCCCCGCAAAACCCTAAACCATGACTGACTACATTGAAAAACTGTCCCAGAATAAAAAACGAAAGAATAAAGAAACTGAAAACAAAGACCCAGAGAGGCAACCGGACATGTATCCCAACAGGGGTCTTATGTGTTCCAAATAAATAAGAGACAAAAGCTAACAAACAACAGAAATAAAAAAGATCAATTTCCAGAATTAAAGACAGAGAGGATTCACTCTACAGAGAGAAAAGGAAAATCCTGCCTTCTATACCATACAGCATTTTAGGCTTCAGAGACAGTGACAAGCCCCTAAAACTTCCCAGCATGGAAGACTGATGTCGGATTTCCTGATAACTAACACTGGATGTAGAAAAAACCCTGGGCTGAAAATGCTTAAAATATTTAAGGGAAGAACTTCAAACTTAGAATTTAATGCACAACTAAACTCTATTCAGAAGTGATGGTGGTGACGGTATAATCCGATCTCGCCGTACATTGCATACATATGTGGAATTATCACACATCCGTAAGTATGCATGATTATTGTGTCAGAAAATTTTAAAACGATAGTATAATAAAAATCTTCTCAAGCATAACAAGGCTTCAGAAGTTTTCCTACACAAATGTTCACATTTAAAATATCTTTGGAGGCCAGGGGCCGTGGTGCAGGCCTGTCATTGCAGCACTCAGGAGGCTGAAGCAGGAGGCTCACTGTGAGCTCTAGGCTGGCCTGAACTACACAGAAAGCCTAAGACCGGACAGAACCACATAGTGAGAACTTGTCTCCAAAAGAAGGAGGCAGTGTGGTGGTGTAATTAGGGAAAAGATTAGGAGCAAAGCTGACAGTTCGTAAAGCAGAGATAAAGTACAGGAATGCTTCTGGGAGCAGGCTGAAGCTCTCATCTGGCTCAAGGGAGGACAGGGAAGGCAGGGGAAACTTACAGAAATGAAGACTACAACAGGAAACTTAGAAAACAGAAATATTGGAATAAGGTATTGGAAATAAGTCCAATTATATCAATACTTAATAAGTCAATTATCAATATAATTATCAGTCTAATCAGGATGGGGTAACGTTGGTGCCATGGTCTCCCCCAACCGGTACACGTTCCTGGCCCACAGCCCAGCCGTGCCCTTCCCAGGCCGTCTCCAGCTGCAAGGCTGGAAGTGACGCTGTCCTCTGGCCTGGAGCCCGAGACGGGAGCCGCCTGGCTGCAAGAGGCCCGTTGGGGTGGGGGTGGGGCGCCACCTAGGGCACAGCTCACCTCGCACAGTTCCTGGGTAAAAAGTGAACCTGCATTTTGTTAAAGCACTGACGCTTCAGGGGTTTTGGAGGCAATTTGCTTACTTTGATGAGTACATGGACTGAAGGACCACTTAGAAAACAGAGACACCTGAAGGGATCAAGAACAAAATCGCCCTTAATGACATTTACTGGTGTTATACCTAAACCATATGTATACAGAAAGGGTGAAAATAAAGAGTTAGAAAAAGATAAAGCAGATGGATGTTGAGTTCAAGGACAGCCTGGGGCTGCACAGCAAGACCTTGCTTCTATAAAACAAAAGACAACAGGGATACCCCAAGTGCCGACCCAGAGAAAGCTGTGTCGCTGTGTTATATCACACGAGCCAGGCTTGAAGGCAGAAAGACTGTAGGACAAACTGGGAGAAGACTCAATTCAACGACACTGTAATCCCCAAAAAGAAGCGCACCTAAGACCTAAAGGTGTAAAATTGATTTTCCAAATAGAAACAAATTGCAAAGTTAGAAATTTAAACTCATCAATCTTATTTACAAATCAATCAGAATAAGGAGAAAAACAATAGATCAAAATGACCAAAAAAAGAAACCACAAGACCTACACAGGTGGCCTAATAAACCTGTGTATAGCGCTCTGCCTCCATCAGGCAGCGCGCGGGTGAAGTACTGCCCACGCGTAATGCAGGAAGACGCGTCACAAGCAGGGTTCTTATATTATCATGAGGTTAAGTCACAAGTTATTAACAAAAATACATGTTTTAACAAATCTCTATATACTTTGAAATAAAAACATGGAACATCCAATTGTTAAGAAAACAATTCCACACTTACTATCTATTGTCTCCTTGTCCCAGGACTCCAGTTCCTCCCATCTTGAGGAGAGATGACATTAGCGAGGCACCTAATCCAGGCAGGACTGAAGCAGCAGCTAGATGCATTCATTCATTCACTCATCCATCAGTCCATCCATTCATCCACTCATCCATTCATTCAATCATTCATCTATTCATTCATCATCCATCCATCTATCCATCCATTCATCCATCCATTCAATCATCCATCCATCCATTCATCAATCCATTCATTCACTCATCCACTCATTCATGCACGCATGCACAAATATCTACCAACCTCCCAGCATGTGCAAAGCATTATTTTAGGCTCTGTGGCATGGAAACAAGAGCTCAATTTAGACAACCAGTAACTGTGCCCCCCCAAATCCATTCCTAGCTGTACTTTAGTTCATTTGAGGTCAGAAGCTGTGGACTGCTCCTCTCTGTGCAGAAGTCCCTTATCCCGAGGGAAGAATGTCGCAGAAACCTTACCAGAAGGCAGGATGCCGGTGGCCCGGAGGCACCGAGGAGGCCTCTGGAAGAACAGCCCCTGCCCTTCCTGCAGAGGGGCCAGATCCCAATCACTCATCAGAGCAGGTGGGACCCAGGGATGTGTGTTTTATGAACTGAAAATAAATTTAATTGCATTTATTTATTTATTACTTTATTTTGATACAGGGTCTCACTGTGCAGTTCAGACCTATAGTGATCTCCTGTCTCAACCTCCCCAGCACTGGGATTGCAGGCATGTGCCAGCACATCTGGTTCCGGGGCCGGCACAGCTTGGGGTACTGGGGATCGAACTCAAGACCTTGTGCTTCAGGAGATTAAAGTGCCTGCAAGCAGGCACAGAGGCCAGGGGTTGATTCCCAGTGCCAGCCCTGCCCCCAGGGTGTGCTGAGATGGCAATTGAGACTGGGTGTGGTGGTCCTTACCTGTAATCCCAGTTCTTGGGAGGGTGTAAACAGGCAGATCACTATGAGTATGATCTAGTAGTAAGACTCTGAACACCCTGTAGACCCTTCCCTAAAATACAAAAAAAAAAAGAAAAAAGAAAAGAAACCTACAAACACACTCAGCTACCTTGTCTTTGACAAAGAGGCCAAACATGTTCCCTGTAAGAAAGATAGCCTCTTTTACAAATGGTGCTGGAAAGACTGGCTTTCCACATGCTGACATCTAAAACTAGACCAGGGGCTGGTGAGATGGCTCAGTGGTCTAAAGCACCTATTTAGAACAAGCTTAGCAAAGCACAGGGACCACGGTTCAATCCCCCAGCACCACATGCCAGCCAGCCCCGCCCCCTGGTGGGCTGAGCTGGCCACACACACACACACACACACACACACACACACACACACAATAAATCAATAAAAAAAAATTTTTAAAAAATAAGAAAAATAAAATAAAACTAGACCAATGTCTATCATCATGCATTAAAGTCAAACTGGATTAAAGATTTTTTTTTCAACCGGATATTGAACTCAGATCCTTGCACTTGCCAGGGAAGCACTTATTCTACTGAGCCATCTCCCCAGCCCTGAATTAAAGATTTAAACATTAAAAGAGAAACACTGGGGACCAGGGAGATGGCTCAGTAGAATAAGTGCTTCCCTTGCAAGTGCAAGGGTCTGAGTTCAATCCCCAGTTCCAAAAAAAAAAAAAAAAAAGACAGAGAAATCTACTGAATGAGAATGTAGGTGGAAGTCTTAGACATAGGTATAGGTAGAGAATTCATTAAAAAAAAAAAAAGGCAAGAGAAATACTTCAAAAATCAACAACTGAGATCTCACCTCGTTGAGAAATTTCTGCACATCCAAAGAAATCACCAACAGAGTGAAAAGACAACCCACAGCTTGGGAAAAAAATCTTAACCAGCAATTACTCAGACAAAGGACTTCTATCTAGAATATATAAATAACTAAAAAAAAAATTAGACCCCCAAAATTTAAAGACCCAATCCAACAATGGGCATCTGAGATGAATACACACTTCTCAGAGGAAGAAATACAAATGGCAAGTAAATACATTAAAAAAAAAGAGTTCCACAGCACCGGTCATTTGAGAAATACAAATTAAAACAACATTGAGATAGCATCTCACCCCAGAAAGAAAGGCTGCCATAAAGAAATCAGCTGATAACAAATGCTGGGGAGGCTGTGGGGGAAAAGGAACCCTTCTCCACTGTTGGTGGGAATGAAGACTGGTACAACCACTATGGAAATCAGTGGGAAGACTTCTCACAAAACTAGGATTGGAAATTCCATTCAATTCAGGTATTCCCCTTATGGGTATTTTTCCAAAAGAACTAAAAACATCATATCACAATGTTATATGTGCACTCATGTTTATAGCAGCACAATATGTCATAGATAAATCTTAGAAACAACCCAAACTCCCATCACCTCAGAATTGGATAAAAAAGATGTGGTATTTTTTTACAATGGAGTATTACTCAGCTATAAAGAAAGACAAACTTGAGGCCCTTATAAGTAAATGGATGCAACTAGAGGCTATACTCATAAACGAATTTAATCTGATCCATATGTGTAAACATCAGATTGTCTCCCTAGTGAAAGAATCTGAAAGAATAAATGAAGCCTGAAAGATATAACAGATACAGTAAAATGGAAAGAAATTGTATGTAAGGATTAAACAATGAAGATGAGGAAAAAGAGAAAAGATAGGAAAAAAAGAAAGAGGGAAAAAAATCATTCAAGTACATATACAGGATAGCTGAGATGATTATATTACTAATTTCCATCAGATTTTTGAAAGTAGCAATTAATGTTTAAAATTTTTACTTTGACTAACTATATACTAATATCTGTAATCTGAGAAACTACATCGACAGCAGTGTGCAATAGAAAACCCATGGTTGAATATCTTTAAAAAAAAAAAAAAAAAAAAGACCTTGTGCTTGCCAGGCAGGTGCATAGACTGCTGAGCTATCTCTCCAGCTGAAAATAAGTTTAATTAAAATATGGTTTTTAAGCTTTATTTTTGATAATAATTGTACATATTTTGTGGTATCATGTCATATTTCAATACAGTATGTGATAATTAAATCAGAGTAATTTATCAAATCTGTCACCTTAAACATTTATCATTTGCTTATGTGGAGAACATTCCGATTTCTCCCAATTAGCTATTTGGGAATGTACAATTAACTGCTGCTGTCCTGCTGCGCTGCGAAGCATTAGGATGTGCGGATTCCTGCTGGCCAGCCACACCCGCTCCGGCTTCCGCTCTCCTCCAGCGTCCTTTGCAGTCCGGGGTAACGATCAGTCTACTCTACTGTACAACCTCAATGATTCAAGCCTCCACACGAGAGGGAGAACTCGCCGTGTTAGTGCGTCTGGGCCTGACTTCCTCCACTGACCCTCCCCCAGGCTCATTCTTCTCTAAGAAATCTTTCCTTCGTATTCACTGACTACAATGCCATCTTCAGGGTCTGACATTCTATCTCCAGCTTCGTTCAAGAGGTTCTGCCAGCTTTCAATGGAATTCTTAATGTCCTGGGTATCTGTTGGAATCTGTGTCATGCTTTCTAATGCTTTCCTGTATTGTTCATTTAGTGTTTCCATCATTTTCCTATTCTCCTCCATTTTTTATCTGTATCTTCTTCAGATGTATTGAGCAATTCTTTAATGATTGTCGTCATTTCCTTTTTTTTTTTTTTGGCCTGAGAAATTATTTCTGATCTGATTTCCTCCATGGCCTGGCGGAGCTGTTTCTTCACTCCAGTTGCTATCATTTCCCAAATTTCAGGTGTGCGACCTCCAAGCTCTTCTATGACTTTCACTCCTGGACATATTTTGGGTGGACTGGAGGTCTGAGATTGCTTTCTGCACCTTTCTTTTGACATTTCTGAAGCTCCCAGTGTTCACCCTGACTCCGAAGTGATGGTAGTGGGGTGGGGTGCCGGTGAGCAAGGCTCTCACGAGTGAGGGCAGGGTCGGCTCACCAACGGTCCCGCTGTGTGGGCTTCAGTGTGGCTTCCACCTCTGTGGGGCGGGGGCGGGCAAGCCGCAGCTCAGGAAGGAGCCAGGGATGCTGAGCGCCGGCCGAAGCTCCGCAAGGCTGTCTTGAAGGTGGGTGCGTGCAGGGTAGGGCTCCCCAAGACCCCCCGCTGTGAGTGGGACAGGCGGCAATAGCTCAGCGGAGCTCAGTGACACGAAGGTGGGAGAGGCGCTCAGCACGCAGGCATGGGGGAGCGGGATGGGGCTCCCCAGGCCCCCGCAGCGGTCCTCTGTGCGCCCGCCCGATCTCCCTGGGAGGTGGGAGAAGCAGCTGCGGCCTGCCAGGCTTCCGCGAGGGTCTCTAGGCTCCCGCATGTTGCCTCCCAGGACAGGATTTCAATCTTTTTATGGCCGGATAATACTCGATTGTATATGCCACATTCACTTTTTCCATTTATCCATTATGGAAAAATTTATCTTTTATATTTATAATTTATTAATAATTAAGTAATTTGTTGATGAATTATATTCATTAATTATTACATTAATAACTTTATATTAATTAATTTACACTTATTAATCCTAACTTACTATAGCAATATTGCTGCGCAATTCAGGACCAGATCAAATGGAAGACAACAGTACCCGAGAAACTTTGGAAGGCACTCAGCTTTATCACGCTAGCGGGCTGGGGAACCCCGAGGTTCGAATCACCAGCCCCATTTGGAGGTTACCGAGCCCTTATATAGGTTTTCAGAAGGAAGTACAAAAAGGCAGACAGGGTACCATTCTGCAGTGGGTTGCACATGCCTTCGTCATTCCTGCGCAGAATGTCCTCTTCCAGGAACTACTGATTTAACAAGGAAGAGTCAGTCATTGTCTGACAGCGGGCACAGGCGTCCTCGGGCCGTCACTCTCCGGGACTTGACAGTAAGCAAAGCGCCACCGTCGGCTAAGCGGCTCCTACCTCGCAGCTGGCTCCAGGCTCCCCGGTCTCATCCTTAGATATATGTTAGGTACATGCTAGTGTTAGAAATACAGGATTTAAATTCTCATTACATTTAAAATAGCCTCAACAAGAGCGGTCAAATAGCTCAGTGGACTAAAGCACCTGTTAGTAGACGCAGGGGCCAGGGGTTCGATCCCCTGCCCTGCTGTGCCAGCCCCGCCCCCGGGACACGCTGGGATGGTGATTGAAACTGGGCGTGGTGGCGTGTGCCTGTAATCCCAGCATTTGGGAGGCTGTAAACAGGAGAATCACTGAGTCCGATCTAGTAATGAGACCTCTGCAAAACATTGTTTCATTATTAATAAATTTACTAATAGATTTAGATTAAAAACAGATTTAGATTAAATGAAATAATTTGGTATTAAAATAAATTGCTGATTTAGTTAGTATTTTACAAATATTTATTAAATATTTTATTGTTTAGCAAACCCCACCAGGTCATCCTCGTGTGTAGCCAAATCCGGAACCCCGGCCCCGGCGACCCCTCAGCACCCTTCCGGGCTGCAGAGCTCTCGTTCCAGGATCTTTGGCAAGTGGCTGCCAAGATCTGATTAAACGTCTCTTTACCTGGAGCGTCCGCTGTGCATTTTTTACACTTCTCTAAATTCTTCCATTGCTTCCCACTTGGTAGAAACCAAGCAGAAGGCGAAGTCTGCAGGGACACTGCAATCGGCCTTGGCCGCAGGCAGGAAGAGGGCCAGGAGGGACACGCGGAAGTCGCCAGGTCCCTGTCCCTCTCCACATCCGCCTGCGGAGCAGCCCTTCTTCAGACCAAGTTTCTCCACAATTATGCATTCAGTCTTTTGCAGTGAAATACAATAATGTTCTGAAAATGACAACGTTTTAAAAGTCTTTTAAATTCAACTACGTACCCTATATGGTCCCTTTTACAGTTTCTTAGTAATTTCAGGTTTTAAATTATAAATTTGCCTGCAAGGGCTTGCAGTGAAGGTAGGATTCCCTTCAGGTGGGTCTGGTGAAGGATTTGCCCCAGCCCAGCTGCGCGGTGCCCGAAGGCCTCTTCTCTCCCTCCTGAGGCCCCTTCTTGGAGGAGGCCTCAGCCCCCGCATCCCCACCCTCACCCCACCCCCACACACCCGGTGTCCTCGAGGCTCCGGTGTGGCCCACACCTCCCAGCACAGGAGGCCCAGAGCTCCTGCAACTTCCCACCCGGGCTCTTCACTTCTTTACCCAGCAACTAGTGTGTAAACTCAGAGGACTGCTGTGATTGGCTGTACATAGCAAGGGTCTTTCCCTAACTCAGAATCTGTTTCCTCTGTACCTATTTTCTTCCCTTGCTCTGCACACAAACTGAGACCTGCTGGGTTAGAGCCCGCAGGCCGATGGCCGTCCCTGCAGGCCTGGTCCTGGGACTCCTCACTTTGATGACTCTCCTGAGTCGCCACGGAGCAGGGGCCATCCCAGGTGAGCGCTGAGGGCCGCTGGGGGAGGACAAGGGACCCTTCTTTGCTATGGTCAGCTTCCTTCTCTGCAGACCCCAACTCCCTCTCATCTCTGTCGCGTCCATTGTGGGCCCAACTACAGGTGCAGCACAGGCCAGCCACGCGGGTGTGTGTGGGGGGGGAGGCTTTTTCACCCTGTTTCCTCCCCAAGCCCCGCCCGTTCTGGCCACACTGTGGTCCTGCGCTGAACGAGTCACTGCAGCAGTTTTAAGGGCTTCTTTCCAGCTAAAACCCAATCGCAACTTCCAGGAAACGGAGCACTCAGCTATGGGGAAGACATGTCGCATCATGTCCCTCTGAGCTGGGCGGGAACCTTGAGGCCTTGACCTTTGGCCCAGGGCTCTTGGCGATGCCTTTCACTCTCCGTCTGGTCGTTACGGATCTTACTTTCGCTCCTGCAGTCATTGCCCGTTTCCCCCTTTCTCTGGCCTGCACCTCATCTCTGCGCCTGGAGCTCCACGTACACCCCCACCCCTAGCCATCTCCCCCCAACCTTCTGCCCCGAGCTTCCCGCCCACACACAGGACCTGAACACCAGCAGAGCTGATGACCGCGACCAAGGCCTAACTGCGAACCCGAGAACCGGCTTGGACAGCCCCTGCCCCTCGCAGCCTGCGCAGCCATGCCCCACTCTTGCACGCGATGGTCACCATGTGCCGGACATGGCCTTGTTCCCTCCGACCTCGCCTTGCACCCCCTGCAGCCCTCTGCTCCCCACGCATCAGCTCCGTGTCGGACACTGACCCCACATGCCCAGGTGGGGCCGGGCTGAGACGGATACCTCCCCCTTCTCTCCTTGGCCCCCCTCACCCAGCACAGCTGACCACCTGGGCTCCTATGGACCCGCCTTCTACCAGTCTTACGATGCCTCGGGCCAGTTCACCCACGAATTCGACGGGGAGCAACTCTTCTCTGTGGACCTGAAAAGCGGGGAGCTTGCGTGGCGCCTGCCTGAGTTTGCAGACTTCTCACGCTTTGACCTGCAGAACGGACTGGTCAGCATCGCCCGCATCAGGGCCCATCTGGCCGTCTTGGTGGACCGCTCCAACCGCTCCAGAGCCGCCAGCGGTACCTGAGCCTCCCTCTATCCCATCCGGCCGCGCAGGGAAGCCCAGGGAAGTCTCTCCCCTCCTCTCTGCTCCCCACAAACCCTCCCTCAGTCCTTTTCTTTCTCTGCGCCTCTCAGTTTCCCCAGACCCCCCAGCCTCCTATTTCTTCTTGAGGAAAAAGCCCGCCCAGGTCTGCAGCTGTCCCCACTTCCTTCCCAAACTCCTGGGTTTCCACCTTGTCCTGCCCCCCCAGCAGCGCCCCCTGCCGGCAGGTGGCTAACCCGGCGGGAGGAAGCGTCTTAACCCCCGCCTGGCTATAGGCGATGGGCCTTTGGGACTCAGATCCTTGTAACTTTTAGTGCCTCCCAGGGTGACCGTACTCACCAAGTCTCCAACCGAGCTGGGCAAACCCAACATTCTCATCTGCGTCGTGGACAACATCTTCCCCCCTGTGATCAATGTCACCTGGCTACGCAATGGTCAAACCGTCACTGAGGGCGTGGCCCAGACCAGCTTCTATTCCCAGCCGGACCACACGTTCCGCAAGTTCCACTACCTGACCTTCGTGCCCGGGCAGGACGACGTCTACGACTGCAAGGTGGAGCACTGGGGCCTGGACGAGCCGCTGCTCGAGCACTGGGGTAAGGAACGCTGACCCCCCCCCCTGCGGCCACCTGCCGGCCGGTTCCCCCATCCCGAAGCCCTTTGCCGCTCCCCTGACCCCTCCTCTCTTTCCCAGAGCCCCAGCTGCCTGCCCCGCTGCCAGACACCACAGAGACCCTGGTCTGCGCCCTGGGCCTGGCCATCGGCCTGGTGGCCTTCTTCGTGGGCACCGTCCTCATCATCACAGGCACACTGGTGTCCAGCGTCCCCAGGTGCAGATGGCCCGGGAGTCTGGGCCCCTCGGGACAGGCTGGGAGTGGAGAATCAGAGTGAGCGGGGAGGGTGACATTGCGGAGCAGTGGGCGGGGACCGGAAGCAGAGGCAGGGTGAGCGGTGGGGCTTTGGGGAGGTGGGCACGCAGTGAGCACCCAGCAGCGTGAGCTCGAATCACGAGCTTGAGTAACTTTGTTTGCGTGGCTTCTGCTGCTTAGGTAATGACTCTCCTGAGAGAAACAGCCATGACGGCGCCTTCCTGAGTTCTCCAGGTTTTCGACAGCCTTGCGCCTGGGAATCCCACAGCCCAGCAAATTCCTCTGCCCTGCTGATTTGAATGCCATCAACCTCTCTCGGATAAGTGCCCCCCTCTGAGGCCACAGTACCTACAGTAGCGCCTGTGGGGGCACAATCAGCTGCCCTTTCCAACACATATGCACTCTCGCACACCCACGCACACACGCACACGCACGTCACGCACACTCCTATTCTTCTGCACCCAAAGCCTGGACTAGGAGCTCTAAGTTCATTGATGGGATCTGCACTGTGTCCTTTTAACCAGATCGTGGCTGCTGCTCTCAGGTGTGCGGGCTGCCAGACCCGAAGAGGGGTCTGGGTGAGGACCACGGGGATGACCGCAGGTGGCAGCCAGCTTTCCCCATCAGCCTCTCATGTGTTACACTGTCAATGTGCCATTCCACGAGGATTTCGTAAAATTGGCCCCCTGAATTTAGATTTGCCTGAAACAGGTGCAGTGTAGCATTCACTCAGTGCAACTCCCTCAAACAACAGTTCCAAAGGGCTCAGGAGAGAGGGGGTTCATGGGGATCCCACTTTTGTCTGGATGATAAGGCTCCTGATGCCCAGTTATGATCTACAATGTCACCTCCTTTTTCTTCGTCCGCCAGGGTCCCATGTGTGACAGAGATTCGATAGCTTCTTCCTTGGGGGGGACAGTCAGACTAGGCTGGGGAAAGCAGAGTAGATCTGTAGGATACCTGGCAAGGGAGGTGGTGTCACATCCACTGAGCACGCCCCCAGTGTGTGGCCTAGAAGATCTTGACAGAAAAGATTAAAACTACACTGCAACCATAAACAACCACATAAAGTAATTTGTGTCCAGAACCAAAGAAGTGACATGCCCTGATCCTGCTGGTCTTTTGCTTGAAAGTTAACTGCATGTATCATTAGAAAAGTGTTTCTCTCATGTCCCCTCTCAGGCTTAATAAAGTGCTTTAAAATGTTTTTTTTTTTGGACCAAAAGAAGTGTGCTTTCTTCACCATGTCAATGTTATCCAGAAGTCACTGGAACTGCTGGGAACAAGGTCAAGCCTTTCAGATCACGTGTCTGCCCTTATGGTCACAGGTCTTTCCTCCTAGTCTCAAGGTAAGTAGCCCTTCATTTAGAAAAGAGAAGGTGTTCTCTTCCTTGCATGAGCTGTTTCCTTCATTCTCTTTTAGAATAGATGTTCAGCAGGTACCACCTCTTCCCTGTCCTCAAATTCTCCCTCTTCACAGGGCTCTGTCCTGCAGAAAATGGTGCTATCCTCTCTCTCCTGTAATGAGAATGTCAGCCCCCACCCCTGTCCTGTTGACCAGCACCCCAGGGTCCTCTACGTCCCAGGGAGTGTTCTGCCTGGGCTGTCCCCAGATCTCCTCTTTAGAGCCACTCTCTCTCAACTTTAATTTTTAATAAAGTTATGTTGATGCTGCTTAAGAGTCAAGTAGCTCTAGAAGACTTGCTGAAAAACTCCTAACCTCTGGGTCCCCTCTAACCACAACCCATCCTCAGAGGAAATAATTTTCAGCCACTTTAACAGGTTCTGTTGGTACAAATATAATTTATTCTCTGGGGTCCATGCTGTGTGAAGCCTGGTCCTAGGTGGGCAGGGAGTGGGGCACAGTGGGAAGTCCCTAGGCCCTTGAGGTGCACTTTCAAAAGGAATGATGGCAGTTTTTGTGGGACCCAGAGTGAGCTCTGGTGAGCATGAAGTGTAAGCATGAACCTGGACGCTGAACTGCTTTCTGGCTTCCTGTGGGGCAGCATGACCTGTGCTTCTCCCCTGGAGCCCTGACACGGCGGTGTGGCCCACACGAGGTGGGCACTAGGCCCTTGAGCTGAACAAACCACTGTGTTCTTCAAAGTAGCCTTCAGGAGCTATTTCATTAGAGCAATGGAAAATGGACCAAGATAACTAACTGGTTTTCAATCTCCTACCTCTAAGTATCGTGGTTTTTCTTCTTGATGTTTCAGCTTTTGTTTTTATACTTTTACTTTCCACTTGGAAAGAGGGAAGTTGGAGGTTTCCCTCCTCCACGTACAGGCACACTTTCCACAGCCCCTTCCTTTTACATATTATAATTTTGGCCAAGCCAATGTTTACTATTCATATTATTAAGTCCATCTAAGGCAAACCACAAGCAACACCAGTTCTTGTCTTGATGACTTTGGTTTTCCCTGCACTTAGGCACCGTCCTGTTTTCTCTTTACCTGGTTTTGGTTGTACCTTTCATTAACGAATCACAAATTTCTTCACAATACACATGCTGCCTCAGGTGTTCTGTCAATTTTATGATCAGATACAACTCTTCTGGACCTTTGACCTGCTCAGGTCTTAGCTCTTCATCCTCAGCTGTCGCACTGAGCTCCCTCTTCACCATCCTTGTCAGAGCTTACTTGATTTCTGGGTTGAATCTTCTGTTTCTTGCACCTAGTAATTATCCTTTTGTGGGCCGCTGCTTGTTTCAGTGAGGCAAGCCTTTGAGCTCCTTGAGAAGGAATGCATTGTGGGGCAAGCTTTTTATGCCTTGCATGTCAGAAAATATGTTTATTCTGCTATCACGTGATAGCGTGGTTGGGTATAAAACTCTGACTTGGGAGACATTTCTCCAGTGTCTCATGCTCTCGTAGTATTCCTGTCGACAGCCAAAGCATATCTGGTCCTGAAACTTTATGCACTAGTTCTTTCCCTACTCCACTCTGGAATCTTGCAGAAAATTTTTTTCTTCATCTTGTTTTAAATTCCAATAGCTGTTCCATTACCTATAGGGTGAAGAGCCTTCTCAAATTGTCCCCAGTGTGTCTTTTGACATTATTATAATTGTTATTGGGTTTTTTGTTTGTTTGTTTTTGTGGAACCAGGGATTGAACTCAAGCCCTTGCACTTGCCAGGCAAGCGCTTATCCTACTGAGCTATCTCCCTGGCCCCCTAGTATTGGTTTTTTAGTCAGGGTCTCATATGTAGTTCAGGCTGGCCTTGAGCTCACTGTGTAGCCCATGAGACCTCAAGCTCATGGTGATCCTCCTGCCGCAGCCTTCTGCATGCTGGGGTTATAGGTGTGCACCACTACACTTGGCTACTTACTTCTAACAGCGCCTCTGGAAACAGGCAATGCTTAAACCAGTATATATCCCTCTCTGCATTCACACAATCTAGTCTCTATACCAGACCTGCCTTACTGTCAATCCAGACTCACTCTGTCCTTCCCCAACCCAATTCAATGTCACTCATGTAAAGCTTTCCCACCCACCCTCCGTTTGTTCCCATTCTCTTCTGTGATTCATGCCACACTCTGTTCACTGTGGGTGTGTCTGCCTCTAACACTAATCGCTCCTCTAGCACAAGGGAGGGCTGTGTCTTACTTTCCAGCACCTGATACAGTCTATTTAATTCACTTCAAATCCAGCCTCATCCCACTGCTCTGCAGCTGGTTTTAATAACCCAGGTCACCATTGACTGCACCATACAACGTGCCAGGGCTTGTGGGAAATATTTTCATGCACAGTGCATTTGCATCTTGGTCTGTTAGACCAGACACAGGCTGGGAGTGTAGCTCAATGGCACAGCTCCTGCCTGGCAAGCATGAGTACTCAAAAACAAAAAACAAGATGCTCCCAGTACTCAAAAACAAAAAACAAGATGCTTATAAAACCAGATGCATAATGGGATGAGTGCAAGAAACAGTAACTTTCTTGATGTAATCTTAAATTTGACTCAAAACCTGCTCCCCACACCTTTCAAGGTTTGGTTTTACATTCAGCCTCAGTCATCACTGGGGTTTCCCTTTCTCATGGGCTTGGAGAAGCTCCATATCTGGACTGGTGACTTCAAGCAGGGAGACCTGCTGGCGCTTAACCCTGGTCCTTTCTGAGTGACAGCTTGACTGCTTCTGCACCAGACTTGAGGCAGGGGAATCTTTGGTGATGGGTAATTCCCATTGCCTGCAATGATGCTCTGAGCAGCCTCTTCCCTTCCCCTTAGGCTGCCCTATCTACAATGGGTGCTGGTGGGGAGCAGGGCTCTCTTGGGACTCACAGACCATGGTGTCCCCCTATGCTGGGAGGGTCGCCCCTTTCTAACCTCCAAGCCAGTTCCCCTTTGTCTCCTGGTATAATGTCTGGGACACTTGACATACTGTGAGGTATGCATCAGGCTTTGAGATAGTCAAAGCCAGAAGGCTTTTAGAGGCAACATCTCTCCTTGGCTAGAATCCTACTCCTAAACACAAGGAAAGATAAAGGACTATTCTACCACAATGCATGATGTCCTTTCTTACAACCAGTCTACAATATAACTATATAATTAGAGGGAGGAAACTAAGACTCAGATTTTTTGTCTTGCCCCAGACCAGACAGCCAGATCACAGCCAGGAAGATCCTTGTGATGACACCAGGGTCCATATTGCTTGCCCGGCACCATCATTGCTTGTGTAAAAGGGGCAAACATCAGGTTTCTGGGAAAGGTGCATGAGGAGGCTTTCTCCCCTTTGGGAAACTAACTTCTGTGGAGGCTTCAGCAGGAGAGTGAGCACGGGGCTTGCAAAGTGAGCGGGTCCTAGAACTACCCGAGAGATTTTACTAGCCTGCATCACCTGTGTCGCTTCTGTCCTTTCCCCTGTGCAGATTCGCTTTCTTGCTTAGAATGTGATCTTTTTTTTTGCATAATTTTGTTGAGAAACCAATAGCAACGAGACAGTTTCAAATCAAATTAGTAGGACAGTTTCAGTAATTAATACATTGCATATTGTTTTCTTAGTGGTTATTTGTTGTACAAGATGCAGACATGATATCCTATGTACATACACTATTAGAACAAATCCCTCTATTAATTGAATTAAGAGAATGTAGCTGTATATCTATTTTAACTATTTTGAATATACAAATACAAAATGGTCATTCATTTGTACCCCCTTTGTTTAGTTTTGTCATTTAAATATTATAGGTGTATGAATTCAGCAAAATATTCCAAAATAGTTCAGTAGTCCATAATAGTATTGGGTTTTCCATATGACTGGCAATGCCAGAAGTTGTTGGTTGACTTGAGTCTTTTACAGCTCAGCATAATAATATGGCTTTACTTCTTATACTTTGTTTTTATATTTTTCTGCTGGATGGTTAAGACCAAGATAAAGCAAGACCTATAAAACAAGAGATGTAGCTTTTGGATCTGATAAGGTCAGTCAAATCCCCTCAGGATTTATCCTGAGACCCTGTACCTCAGATTGTAGAACCTTTGGCAGTGTCAGCCATGTGGATGAGTCACTGCCATTGTTTGGCCAATGTGCTCTCTGTGAAAGCCTGAGAGAATGTCCTCTCTCCATGTGACTCTCCTTAGGCACACTCTGCATCATCGATCACTTTCCTCTTTGGCCCCATAATCTCCTTGATCAGAAAAAGAGGACACAACTGAGTTACATAATGTTACAGTACAGGTTCTCATATGTCCTGAGTCTTAATTGACCTTGAAAGGCTAGGGCCAAAATGTTGGCTGTCCTTGTGGCCTTCCTTTTCTTAATCCCATTCTGGTTAACAAGAGTGTCTGGCGGCAAGTAACAAGGGTCTCTGGCTCTCCTTTCCCTCTTCTTTCTTTCACTGAAGCCATTGCCATGCTGTCATTTCCTGGGGTCCGCTGCCCAACATCTTAACACTAATGCTACCAAGCCCCCATCCATGCCCACGCCTGTGGAGCCGGTTCTGAGCGGCTGCCCTGACCAAGTCTGGGCAGCTTCTGAGAGGGCTTCCCTCAGGCCACCCTGCTGATCTGTGTGGGCAGTTGCCTCTCCTTCCCCAGCTTCACTCTCTGACCTCCTGAAGCCTTCTGGGTAAACACGTGTCTGGAGAAGCAGAGTCACTTCCTGTCCTCTCTTCTCTCCATGACTTAAGAATGTTGCGCTGGAGGCGCTATGGTTTGGCTCCATCTTGTGAGTGAGTCCAGTTCGTGTGAAGACTCCAAGTTGCAATAAGT